AACTGGCAAAGTTTTATGGGCAATGAGGAAATTATTTCTGTTTTCCCTTTCAGCTCGGCTGCTGGAATCCCATCACTGGTCTGAATGGGTCATTGACAGACAGAAAGTTGGAGAATAACATGCGAGGAGTGGTTCTGCGGGTGGTGACTGTGCTGGTAAGCAGATCCTCATCTTTTTGCACTAGCAGGAATATATCTTCTTCTACTTGCCTCATCTTTTTATTAAGTACACCATTATACCAAGAACTTTGAGTGTCTGGTTTCAGCTTGTCAATACAAGAGCAATGGAGCAATTTCCACAAAATCAAATTATTTACCAGTACAGTTAATTTCAGAGAGTGAATCAAGCACATTAAAACCAGTTTCTTCCTCAGACACATACTAAATTAGATAACACAAACATATGAACTGATAAAGGGCAACTTCAAGTGCCCTGTTTGCTAAAGTTACCTAGCTGAAACACTAAATGATTCATAAGATGTAGCTGCTTTCCAATTACCTTGCCAAATTGAGTGCTGTCTGACACAAACTGCCGCACTTGGAAAATATTCAAGATCAGCTTAGGGTGAGTAATGTTAGTTCAGGAAAACATCAACTGTCCCCTCCCAGCTCTTCTTCAGCAAGGTTCTTCCCCTGTGTGGACACCTTGCATTAAGCAGCTGCAGCAAAGCTGTTGGTTTAAAGCTGAACGGAAAACATCTACCAGAATAGGAAGGTAGTTTGTGATATGAGACCAGTGATTTCCCTGACACAAACTGTAATTATTTTATGGGTCTTTAAAAACTATTATCTCTCAGGGCGTCCAGACTGCTCCAGCTCTTAGTACACTAGAGGACTTCCTGTGATAATATCTAAAAAAACAAACAAACAAACAAAAGAAGGATAAATGCACAGAAAAATACAAAGAAGTAGGGTAGAGTTTTTTATACTTCAATTGCATGTTCATCAAAATAACATCATGGTGGTGGTGGCTGATCTTTGTGTTTTGCCTGATACTCATGTTAATTGACTCAGTATAATTTTCTGTTGACAAAAATGATCTGTGGATGTTGTCTAGGAAAATAAATTAAAATTAGTCTTGGATTTTTTTTTTTTGTTTCTTCTTCTTCCCTCTCTCCCCACTCTATTCCTCTGATTTCATCCCCAGTTATTTTAGTTAGCTTGCCAGAGAGCATTCTTCTTTCAAGTCATTTTAGCATGACTATTTAGCAACTTGCAAAAAAACAAAAAGTCATTAGTTACGCTGATAGAATTCTATATTAATAATAAAGATAGAAGGCAGACATTTAAAGTTCTGCACACAGCACACGGCAGTTCAGTCTCCTCACTGCAGCCCTTGTGCATGGCCTCATGTGAACACACAGTAGCCATTTGGATTTCTTGACAGTTTTAAAGCGCAACTGGTGACAACTTCTATACACAGCTAGTGAAAATCACAATTAGTCTGAATTGTGCTTTGTTAAAATCTATTAGCTGACTCTCATTTTACATCAGATATGCACTGATAGCAATATATGGGGAAGACGTAAATTTTTCATATTGGCTTCATAGCATAAAACTTCCTTTATTCTCTTAAAGATGTAGAGGTTTGCATGGCTGGTCAGTGCAATCTAGACAAAACTGACTGTGAACTGCACTACAAATCGAGGTTCATTTGATTTTACTCAGCAAAAAAGAGAGGCAAGGATTTTGTAAACTGCATGAATAAAGGGAGGAAGCAAATACTTATTTAAACTCATGAGCCCGTGTTGTGGTTTAGCCCCAGCAACTGAGCACCATGCAGCCCCTCCTTCACCTCCCTGCCCAGGTGTGATGGAGGAGAGAAACAGAAAAAAACCCCACCCTTATGGGTTGATATAAAAACAGTTTAATAGGACAGCAAAGGAAAAGGAAATAATAATATTAGTGATAAAGGAATATACAAAACCAAGGGATGCACAATGCAACAATTGCTCACAACCTGGTGATTGATAGCCCATCCGCAAGCAGCTATTCCCACCTCCCCAGCCAACCCCAGTTTATACACCGAGCATGACGTTATAAGGCAGGGAAAACGGTTTTGGCCGGAATATCCCTTTGGCCAGTCCGGGTCAGCTCTCCTGGCTGTGCCCCCTCCCAGCTTCTTGTGCACCTCCTCACTGGCAGAGCACGGGAAGCTGAAATGTCCTTGACAAAGTATAAGCACATCAACTGCTTAGCAACAACTAAAAACATCAATGTTATTCTCATACTAAATACAAAGCACAGCACTACACCAGCTACTAGGAAGAAAATTAACTCTATCCCAGCTGAAACCAGGACAGACAGAAATAATATTTTTCACTGTCAGTTCCCTTGACTGATGGTGCTTTCACCCAAAATGCCAGAAACTGGGAACATATAGTATCATTTCTCCATCGTTCACAAACGCTAATTGCTGAAAGAGAGAAGAGGCAGACAGACAGACACTGACAGAAAATCAAGCTACTAACCAAAACCCTGAAGGGAAGTTGAATGGTGTAGATACCAGAATTGCAAAGTGTTAATTGTTTCTAACTACTTCTAATCTTTGGATGATCACAGATGATGCTGCCACCCCTGTGGGTGACAGAGCATTATTTAGGGTGCTTACCCTCTAGCATTTTCTCTTACTGCTCTTACTATGCATAACTAAGTGTTATTCATGAGGATATACTGGAATCTGAGACTTAAAATACAGCTATCATGAGCATATTTTTACTTCAAATGTATGTTTCTATAGGATAAATTTACAGGGCCTTTACTTGTTGCTACTTATAGCTTGGTTCCCATCTTTACTTACATAGCTTATTACAATGGTGCAATTATATTATTTTTACTGGAAGAGAATGAATAAATAGATCTAACAACTGAATTTGAGTGGAGTCTTAGTTGGGATGCCATAACACTGGAAATGAAGCTAAACTATTAAAAAAAAAGTATTAATACTTGCTTTCTCTCCTTGTAGAATTAGACTTTTAGTCCCTCTCTTGTTATTCAATTTAGAAAAACTTGTTCTTAGAAAAACTTGGTCAACAAAGACACTGACTAGAATTTCATTAAGGCCTATTCATTTTACAGCGATTATCAAGGAAATTTGCTAAGGCCATTAATTTTGTGAAATACAATAAAATTTCAAATTATAGTTTGGACAAATCAACAGAACTCTTTCAGGTAAATCAAGGCCATAGTAATAACTGGAAGTGCAATGTTTGTCTGGTTTTATATCTGCTGGATAGGACAAAACTGGAGATTTATATTTATTCTGTGTGATGAAAATGTGTGATTCTTTCCTTTAATGTGAGGGCAAGAGGGATTTCACACATCAACTTCATTTTAGCGATGCTCTTTATCATACTTCCTTTTCCATCTTTCTCCAAATTCTTCAATTAAGTCAATACATTTCTGTTAAAAGTAAAGAATCTGTTATTGACTATGAATGATTAGTTACTGTTATTAATTCTGCCAGTTTCTAACAGTATGGTCTTGATCCGGGGAAACAAGAAGTCTTATGTTAAAATTAAATAATAATATGTTTGAATATGAATAGGTTTCTTTGTCATTGAGATTTGAGAAGTTCACATTAATTTGTTTATTTGTTCTGTTAAAGGTTCGAATCTCTCATGTCTTTCTAGATAGCAACCCTTCTCCCCTTCCAATTTCATTTTGTTATGCCTTTAGGTTGAAAAGGACTGGTTCTAAAAATTGCAGTAGAATTTGAGAGGAAGCAAATTGTGACACCTGGGCTTTACTGCATTATCCTTACTGTGAAATGAAACATTCTGCAGTCTGAAAATGACAAAAAATTGCGACTAATTTCCCAAAGCAGTCCTTCAAAAAGCGAGTGCTGAACAATTCCCATCATCTGCATTCATCTACTAATTCCTTTCCCTAGATAAATTTAATAATTATGGGCTACATATCTACAGATCCAAAACAAAATCTCTTTGTGAGTGTGACAGAATACAGTATGTCCCTAAACTGGAAATCTCTAGTTTCATTTGGCAGTGAATCTTGGCTCCTCTGAAGTTAATGGGAATTCTCTCCTTTGCATAAATAAGAATAAGAAACAATTGTTTGTGTTTTATTCTAGGGGGAACTATAGTCACGCCTGTGTACATGTAATTCAATGTTTTAATCAGACTTGCATTACTACCACACTTTCTACACTTCTAGAAAAGGTTTATTTGGTCTTAATTAAACATCAAATGTCTCTGTCTTGGACTCCTTCCCCACATGCAAGCTGAAGTTTGAATTTTGTGTTTGACAAGTTACTTCTAAGTTCAAGAGACTTGCTGGTGAACTTCTGAAATGTATTCTGAGCTTCTGAAATGTAGCTCAATCAAAGGTCAGCATAACAACTCTAAACGAATTCAGAGTGTCTTGAATGAACAATTGTCCAAGAACAAATTTAGCTAGATACCCATTTTGGCTATTTCGGTTTATCCTCCTTTTTTCAGCTGCTCAGTTTTATTGAAAGGGAGATAGAATACAGCAGATATTCTCATAATATCGTTTTAGTAGCAGTGGCAATTAATGAATTATTCATATGAATGTTAAGTCATTAGAAATGGAATGAGATTTGGCCTGTATGAGAATGAATAGGCCAGCAGGTATTCACAAAATCATGTTCTAAAAAAGCCCCTGTTGTTTGAAAAAGGAAAAAGTTTGAAATTCCCTGTTTTAAAGAATTAGCACCTTTAGTGAAAAGTACAGAGCTTTTTCTGAAAGTGCCAAAGGTATAACTTCCTAATGGTGTAAAATATATTTGTGATTTTATATGTAAATTCAATACCGCTCCCAAACAGGACGCATGTATTTTCATATCTGGATGGTTTTGAAAATGCAGGCAGGATGAGGGGGGGGGAAAATAATAGCAAGCGATACTGAATTATGCTTTGCCATACAACCCTATGTACTATTTTTTGAAAGTTATTGCCTAGGTTACTTGCAGAGAGCTAAGTGGACCAGAGGCACTTTGGTGACCCTTGGCTCCACATGGGCACTGTGGGACATAGTATAATGAGAGGGCTGGCAGAAGGGTAGACAAGCATAGGGGAAAAAAAAAAAAAAAAGGCATCATTTACACCAAGGAAAATATTATCTTATGTGGACTAGTCTAATTCTCAATGGTTGGCATTAAATGCATGAGCATTTGT